AATATCCTCATTTTAAAATGGGGAAACTGAGGTATAAGTTACTGACCCAAGGCCATACCGGAAGTTTGAGGGAAGGCTGGGATTATATTTGGTATAAACCCTGTGTTCTAATCACATGGCTGCTTGGGTTTTTTTTATAATTTTTGTCCAGAGGAAGTCTGATTTCTCTGATCAGTGAGTCATCCTGTATATGTAAAACATATCAAGTCGTTTTAATCCAAGACACATTCTTGTCAATTCAAATGAGATCAGCAGAGGAAATTGTGTTTAACTGAAGGACAGAAAAGAACCATGTAAACGTTATAACAGACTGTTGATAATTGAATATCTGGGTATCTAACTTGTTCAGGCATTGGACAGGCAGCTCCTTGGATTGCCAAACAGGTGTAATGTGGGAACATATTTGTCTATTTAATGGGGCAGAAAACAAGCAATTATTTTAGCCTATACTGAGTGAGTGGCTTAAAAGCACCTGACATCTATGTTGATTAAGAAATCCAATCTACTTTTTTGCTTGTGTTTTAAGCCTGTAACACTTTAAATACCGAACATGACATATTTCCTTAAACCATGTAAATCTATACAATACACTTAGAACATTTTAATGACTGTGGTAAACCCTATGCTAACAGTCACCTGCAAAGTGCTGTCACCTTTCCCAGTGACCAGGGTAATCTGTAGAGATGATGGAGTTGTATATAATTTCCCAATAGTTTTAATACATTTATTTGATTGTTTTGTTGTTCACCCAGAACACCAGGATGGGCTTCGCATTCACAGTTATATACCCAGTTTGTGAAATGATTCAAATAAAAATATTTACAATATTTTTTTACATTATTTGCCAAACTGCAGCAAAAGTTTTTAGAAGCGTTTCCTATATTTATTAATTATAGCTAGGATTTTCAAAGGGGCCTCAGGGAATTGGGCACCCAAGTCCTGTTGACCGTCAATGGGTGTTCGTGCCTGTGGTTCTAAGGGGTATGTCTATACTAAAGCCAGGACAGCTACTGCACTCAGTTTTGCCTCTGCAGTGTAAACGGTTCCTACACTGATGGAATCTAGCTTTCTGAGAGTTGGTAGCTAGGTTGACGGAAACATTTTTCCATTGATCTAGCCATGCCTACACAGGGGGCTAGGTTGACCTAGCAACAGTGCTCAGGGTGTGACATTTTTCTCAGCCCGGAGAAAATCGATCTAGCTAAATTGATGAGTTTAGAGATGTAGACCAAGCCTTTGCCTACCTCTCAGTTTACACTGCTGTGATTCAACCAACCGCTATAAGACCAAGAAATAAAGCTCCTTTTGGTGGCTGCAATTTGCATGTGGGAGCACTCAGCATTGTACTGCATCAGCTCCAATTGCAGTCAGGGGGGCTAACTGCAGCGGGAGCAGAGTTAGGCCAGAACTTTTCAAACACTCACCGTGCAGGTTTCACTATCCGTGAAGCTGAGTGAGAAATAGACATATGGCCCAAAAGGTTTATCACCTGCTCCCATGAGGGTTGGGACCCATGTCTCTCTCTCTGCTGCACAATGCCTAGCATACTGATGGTGCTCCGTAAAGTCCCAGAGAGGCTCAGATACTCTGGGGTTGGTAACCAAGATGGACTGAATACAAATCTATCCTGATCCTGGGCTTGTGTGTTAACAGGGTATGTTTAATTTTTTCCTTAAATTAAAAAATAAACTGGCATGGAACCAAAATCACAGTTTAAGGCACTCTTGGTGCTTCAGGTCACAGTTAAATAATACACTTTTAATGGTGGAAGGTGAAGCTGCTGGTTTTGTTGGAGATTTAAGAAGCTGCATATTCAGATCTACTAGTGTTTTGCTGCCATGCCTTTAAAGTCCAGGGAAACTAAACTTAATGCACCTTGCATGTGGATAGTGCGTCTTTGAGAGTTTGTGCTTGTAGCTGGCATAACATCCAAAAGCACGTGCTTCCCAGCGCAGGTAGACAGACACGCACTAGCTCTGCTCAAGCTAGTGTGATTAAAATAGCAGTGTTGCCATTGGAGCTCAGGTGGTGGCTTGATCTGGCCACCTTAGTATGTACCATGGGGTCAGGCAGATTTGTCCTTGGGTGACTAGCCCAACCTACCCCCTGTGCCGTCACGACCACGTTGCTGTTTTTATTGCTCTATTGCACCTTCCCAGTGCGATGTATACCCTCAAGTCTCCAGTTAGAGAGGGAGTGAAGCACAGTAGACCAGCATTCCTTCCCTAACCCCTTGCTGATCTTTGCATGGGAACACCAGTGTTTCACAGAATGCAGCACTCTCACCCAGGAGCCAGAGGTTCAAGGGCTCCCTAACTTCTGCTCCACCCCCTTTTTCCTGGTCCAAAGACCTGAGAACACAGGAAGGATCAGGGTGTGATGAGGATGAGTGGGCATTCTCTGGAGTGAGAGTGGGGAGTAGAGTTACTTCTACTGGATCCCTTATGCCATAGGTAGAGTTTTATTGATAACGGGATATCCTGCCTTAATTCACTTTACTATTGTGTAATGCTAAGTGTGATACACGAGCTGTATAAACCACTCTGACAGGTAACTGGGTTCATCCATCTTCAAAAGGTTTGCAAGGTTTTATAGAGAAAGACAGGAAAGAAAACTCTCTTGCCTCCTTTACTTACTCTTACTCTGAAACCTCTCTTACCTCCTTTACTTCTGTTGCTGCTTTGCTAGTACAGTAGACACCCAAGGCTAAGGGCAGTGTTTACAGTCTCCCAGCCAGGAAACAGCATTGCATCAGCAGCCTGCCAGGCTAGTAGTGGCAAAAATTTGATGTACTTTGGGACCCACTGTGACTTTGGTTCTTATTAATCCTGCTGTAAAAAGTTAGATCATTTGGATACAAAGCTGCAGAGTGTTTTAAGAGCTGCTCCCACATGCAGGCCCAGCTTTGTCGAACTAGTTTTTAAAATTAAGTTAAAGTAGCTTCAGGTTTTATTTGTGCCCCTGAGTCCCCTAACCAGTTTTTGTGGTTTTACAATCACATTTTACAACTGGTTTTTCTCCCTTGTTGGTGGGTGGAGAAACCGACATAAACAAAAGGACAATCATTGACCAGGCCCCGAGTCTGTTACACAGTCGCTAGCAGGGATTCCTGCACCTATGCTGAGTCTTGCTTACTACACAGATGAAACTGTGAAACTGACATGAAATGTTGTCATATGCATTTGGGCCCAGATTTTTGAAGGTATTCAGATGTTATGTTCAGCGTTGCAATGACTGATTTAGGAGAGTAAATACTATTTTCAAAAATGATTTAGGCACTTAGGAGTCTAAATCCCATCAACTTTGCATATGATTTGGTCTCCAAAGTACCTAAATCCTTTTAGAAAATTATATTTAGGCTCCTAAATCAGCTAGATGTTGCAATGCTGAGTGCAGCAGTGCCTAAATATCTTTAAAAATCTGAGCCTAAGTAATTAAATGGGGAAAAAGACACAGAGAAAAATATTTTTTCCCTGATATCTTTTATATATCCTTAATCCTGGGTGTAATTTTAACCATTACAAAGCCGAAAAGAATTTCAGACAGAAATGTGATTTTTTTTCCAAGTTGATGCTTGATAATAAAAAGGCTGAATTTTGTCACTGAATGAGTCTAGCTTAGAGGAAAAGAGGCCTGATGCAAAGCCCTAACCCCAACCCTTAAAAATAAAGATTTCCATTGATTTTGAAATGCCTGTGAAGAGTAGAGAGAATACTTCAGTATTCATTGAAATAAAGGGAAAATATGCAGCTGTTTAAAGTGGTTAAAATGTAATGCCCTGTGCCAAGGGTTCTTTTGTTCTGGAATGAGAATTTTCAAGGGAGCTAGTTGGAAGGGAGTGTAAAAGTACCCACCTGCCCAGGGAAGTCCCAAGTCCAAAGCGGTGCAAGAAATTTCAAGCTTGAGTGCGATATCACACAGCAGTAATGGCACTGCGAAGAAAAGCACCTTTGTCATTCTGAGCAAGCAGAAACGGAGGCTCATGTTCCCTTGCTTTGTTCAAGATGACATTACTCTCCTGAATTTTCATGACTGTAGTAACTGTTTTAATGCAGGTAAAATATAGGTCTGGCTGCCTCATTGAGTCACAGGAATGGTAGGAGGCTAATTGCTAACATTACAGCACAGTGCTGCAAGGACTTTTACAACTTCCTGAAACTGTAAAGGCTCAATGACAAAGCAAGTCCTTTTATGCCTTGTGATTTTTTTAAATAGAACTCCTCTGTTCAAGCTAAATTGCTGTTAAATCATGTCCATAAAGGTACTTTTGTCAGGAAAGCCAGGAGGGTTCTTTTGTGCTACCTCATTGCTTTCGGAGGGAGCTGCGGGAAGAGAGGTTGTCATTACAGAGCATTGTCTTGCTTCCTGACTCAAATGAATGCCAGATCTGCCCTCCCATTGACATGCAGGCTATTTGTGTAGCTCCCGCTTCTCTTCACCCTTAGAAAGGCAGTAACCTGTATGAATCTCCATGGCATTGATTGCAGATTTCACTTCTTCGTGGAATTGGAAGGTCTTAACAAACTGACTTATTTTCCCAACTTGATACAAAGCTCAAGAGAAGCAGCATTATGTAGAAGAATTGAGCAGGACATTGAGAGTCAACACTCGTGGGTTCTGTTCTTGTCTCTGCCACAGACTCAACTTTGTGGCTTTGGGGGGCAAATCACTTGAACTCTGGTTCTTCAGTTTTCTCTTCCGTGAAATTCACCTACCTCCCAAGGAGCTGGATGAAATTTAGTTTACAAATAATACTTAGGGTCCAATCTTCAGCTGTAACTGGAGTGCTCAGCACTACCGAAGTCAGCCATTTATTCCCTTACTGGCCAAAAATAAAAATCAGAGCCCTTGTATTAACTTTGGAATTGAGCGCATATGCTTGTGTGAATAATCGGCATTGATGTTACTCTGAGCTTCGTGCTCTCAGTAGGACGTATTATGTGTTGTCTTGCCTGGTTACCTGAACCTAAACGTGGGGGTTGGTTTGTTTTATTGTGCAGTGTCAAAAAAACACGGCAAGCTCATCACTTTCCTGCGAACATTCATGAAGTCACGCCCAACGAAACAGAAACTGAAGCAACGCGGGATCCTGAAAGAGAGGGTGTTCGGGTGCGACCTGGGAGAGCATCTCCTCAACTCTGGCCATGATGGTAAGAGAGAAACTCCTGAGTTCCTCATTCACACTGATGCTTGGGGCTTGTTTAAAGGGTGATTTTTATCATAGTGTTTTAGTACCTTCACAGGGAGAAAATATCAGTTTGGTTCCCAAGGACTGTTAAATATAGCAGCTAATGGCAGAACAAGAACCAATGGCTGCAAGTTGAAGTCAGACAAAATCAAATTCGAAATAAGGTGCACATTTTTAACTGAGGGTAAATAGCCACTGGGACAAACTGGCAAGGGGAGCAGTGGATACTTCTACTCTTGAAGTCTTCAGATTATGCCTGGATTCCTTTATGGAAGATATAATTTAGTTGAATGTAAAGTATTGGGCTCAACACAGGAATAAGGCGAAGAAGATCCCTGGCCTGTGTTACAGGAGATCAGACTTGATGATGTAATGGTCGCTTCTGACCTTTCAGTCTCTAAATCCGTGGGACCTGATTCTCTTTTCGTGCGTGTGTACATGAGGAGTAACCCCACTGGAGTCAGTGGAGTTACACTGTTATGAATGAGATAAAAACTAGGCTCAGAGTTATTGCAGTTTATTTGTTCATGGCAATGTCCCTGATGTGCTAGACACTTTCCAGCAAGGACAGTCCTTGTCACAAGAAACTCACAGTCTAAGGAGACACAAACAAGTAAACAGAGGATGGGGAAGGGTAACACCAAACAGATTGTTTTTATACAAGTCAGAATCCCTATAGGCAAATGGTAGAGAGGGTTAGGAAATGGGAAATTAGAACATCACAGGCGTTAGAAATCAGATACATTGTAATGCCACTTATTCTTTCCAAGTCTATCAATATTTCTATCCATTATCTTTACATGATTCCAGCTCAGTCTGCAAACTGGGGTCTTTCTATCTGCCTTTCCCACTGCTCCCATAAAATACACAATGTACAGGAACTAGCTGGATTTTACTTTAGAATTTTGCTTTCCTCGAGTCCGTGACAAGCCCATTGCTCCTCCCTTGTCTCCTCAACAGCTACTAAAACAAAGTGTCAGGGAAGGGGTGTCCAGGCCAGGAAAAAGCTACACCTACTATTTCTCTTCTTAGGTTTGTTTGATATGATCTGCTCTCTCATCTCACAGTGACACCTCTGATCAGAGGCTGGTGAATCAGGGAGGCTCCAGAACTGCTGAGTACCAAGCTAGAGAGGGAGAGCTATTCAAACCGATTCTTTCACAGTTCAGCAGTAGTCGGAAGTCGTTCACATATACAGCCCCTTCTGGTGATGTCTGTTTAGGAAAGCAGCAGACCAGTATGTAGCAGAGCAGCCAGAGTACCAAGCAGTTAAGGGCATCAAGAAGGTAGAAAGGGATACAGCATCACTTCCAGCTATGTCAGTTTTTGTTTCCTTCATATTTTTCCTCTTGCCTAACCAAATAGATTGTGAATCTGGGCAAGTGGCTGACATCATATGTCAAAGTCCATACTGTCATGTCTTACAGCTTTTGCCTTGAGGATGAAGGACAAGGGGGCAGGGAAGAGGGGTTTCTTTGCTGAGTTTACACCAGTAGTATTTTAGACTCCTTGCTCATACAGATGGCTTTAAGGGTAGGGGCTGGTGGAGGGCAAGCGATGTGTTGCCTTAAATGATTCCATTTGGGGAACAGCAGGGTTTAATCTTGTCGCTGACTTTAAGTATTTTACTGCCCGTTTTGGTGGACAGCATCGAACTGTTCTTGTGAAATCAGGACTGTGCCAAAGCTCATTGGTTTGTTAATTAGAGCCAGTGAAGGTCGATATAACTGGGGCTGGAAAAGTCTGAGAGAGCCAGAAACTGGATGGTTTGGAAGCAGAAGCGGTACTAATGTCCCATTTAAGAAATGGATCCAGGATGGCTAGTTTACGCCACCTTGTTGCTGTAGAACATTTTGTTTTATCTCCAAGTGGGAGAAATCAAGGCGATCAAAAGGCATGCAGAGAGAGTGAGCTCGTGACTGGGCAAAGCAGGAATTCTGTTTAATCCCCAAAGCCCCCTCTTGTTCCGTTGAGTTGAGCAAGACTGAAGATGATTTATTAAGTTTCATAAGAGACAAGGGGCAGATCCTCAGCTAGAGTAAATTGTCAGAGCTCCAGTGATGGTTCATCTGTGAGCATTGACACCATCTGAGGACCTGCCCCCTAGTTTTTGAACCCCCTCCCCACGGCACACTCCTCCATGATTATGTCTGTGCTTCATTCGTGAGGTCTCTTCATCTGTGCAGTTTCCAGTTCTTTTCAGCCTTGACTTAATGACTCTTTCACAACTCCCCGGAGCAAAGCAGATCCAATCTGAATGTTGCTAACAGGGGCAGATCTCCATTTCTCACAGCAGGGTTGATTTTTTTCTGTGTGATTCAGCTCCCTGACCCATATTCCAAATGAGGTAGTTCTAAGGATTAGTTTTGCAGAGACATTTTTGCGTTCTGGTGAATCAAACTATGCGTACGCAGACAGCATTTTAAGTACCCCTCATTCTGAAGCGTTAGATAGGTTGGTCTCAGAGAAAATTGTTAAGCAGAACTGGTTGATCTGCTTAAAGGGGAATTGAGATATCACATGAGAACCTAGATGAGTTAGATAGAGAGTGGGTACAATAATATCCTTTCATCTGTGAGATCAGACAATAGCTCAAAAATGTTTTCAGAGTAGCTGCTACCATGCAGTACTTCATACGTGCGTCAGTTTTAGCTGATGAAACAGCAAGGGACTTGTTTACATTCAGAAAGCATTTGATGATGTGACGGTGATCGAGATTCACAGAAAAAAATATCATTTCGTTAAATTAATAATAAATGTTTACACTTTGCTACCCAATAACCAAAAGCGTCTGCATGGCTTAAGCAAAACGTTTTGGGACAAAATGTCTTCAAAACAGGCAACAGCACATTCACATGCTCTCGAGAAGTGCGGAACTGAGCTGTTGTGCTCCGCGTGTTGAGAACTGTCGAGTCGCCGCTGCTCAGCTGACGAGGCCTTGCCTTTCAAGAATTTATCTTGGGACAATCTGAGTAGTTCCAATCCCATGCCTCTGAGATGCTGCAGGCTGCCCTTCATATAGATGGGTCCTATTTTATTTACAACACCCAGAAATGTGCTAAATGCTTTGTAGTGCAAGGAAAAGTTAAATTGGCAATCTGCTGTCCTGATCCTGCAAACACTTGAGTTACTTTCCTCATGTAAGTAGTTCCTTTGAATCCAATAAGACTGCTTACATAATTAAGTGTAAGTATTTGCAGTACTGGGCCTTCGTTTTTTGACATGGGATGATGAGTGAGAATAACAGACAGACAAAGATGAGCAAAGGGTAAGGAAGGATGAAGGTTGCAATAGGTTACTTGATTTAGGGAATGGTCACATCTTGATGGTGTGCATACTTAGTGTTTTAAGCTTTAATAAGTTTTAATACTAAACAGGTAAACTTTGGTATATATTGAGCATAGCCAGTGCAGATGGTTGTGTTTTTATTAATGAAGGTCTAGAGTACAACCGGTACAGGGTAATGGTGGTATAAAGCATTTATATAGTGCCATCAATCTGTAAAGGAGTTTGCAAACATAGGTGAAACACGTTGCCTGCCACAAAGAGTTTACAATCCAAATGAGGCAAAGAAAAGAGTGGAAGTGTGGTTCGGTGGATAGGGCACTGGACTAAGAGTCAGAAGACGTGGGTTCTGTTCCCAGGTCTTTGCTATAATGTTTGGCAAGTCTTTTCATTTCTCTGCCTCAGTTTCCTCTCTCTTTGTTTAATTATACTTACCTTCTTTGATAAATTGGTTTGAGATCTACAACGAAAAAGTACTGTGTAAGAAGAGTTAAACATCTTATTATTAGACAAGTCGTAGGACAACAGACCAGCTGTGGAATGACCAGAGTTATCTACTCACAAATTCGTGGTCCCATGTACACCTTAAGAATACCTGGAAGAATGTACACTTCCATGTATAGTGGAAGAATACCTGTCTGTCTACCATCTCTACATTTAAGAGCAGCAATGATGCTTTAGCAGATATCCCTAGATTTAGAGCACGGAGTTCTCAAAAGAGAGCTCTTGAGTCTGCCAGTTTTTCTTGTTGGCATGACAGAACCTGTGTCTGTCACCCTTCATGGCATAATCCATCTATTTACTCTGACTTCTTTTTAAGGGAGGTATCTGTGCAGCAAGTGTATGTTGCAATTGGGTGGAGTCAGTATTTGGTTGTTGTTGTTGACTTTATTTGGTATATGGCTGCAATTTGTTGTTGTATAATTGGGTTTGGGCCAGCAGGTTACGCTGCACACTATTTGTGGGGGGAGAAGAGGAGAGAAATAAAAATATAATGTTTGTAATAGAGGCAACAGGGGAATATTTTAATATTGAAACAATTCTGTACCCCCTGAATGACAAATGAATGCTCGTAATTGTATGGGAGACAGTGTCCTGTTTATCTATTTTATGTTAGCACTAGACGGGTCAACCAGTATTAGGACTCCTTTATGGTAGGTGCTGTACATAAACTTAGTGAGAGACAGCCCCTGCTCCAAAGTGCTTATCTAACTAAATAGGCAAGAAAGACAAAAGGTGGGAGATGAACATAATTTGTTGGGGAAGAGTCAACATGGTTTTTGTAAAGGGAAATCATGCCTCACCAGTCTACTACAATTCTTTGAGGGGGTCAACAAGCATGTGGACAAGGGGGATCCAGTGAATATAGTGTGTTTAGATTTCAGAAAGCCTTTGACAAGGTCCCTCACCAAAGGCTATTAAGCAAAGTAAGCTGTCATAGGATAAGAGGGAAGGTCCTCTCATGGATTGGTAACTGGTTAAAAGATAGGAAACAGAGAGTAGGAATAAATAGTCAGCTCTCAGGATGGAGAGAGGTGGTATCCCCAGGGGTCTGTACTGGGCCCAGTCCTATTCAACATATTCATAAATGATCTGGAAAAAGGGGTAAACAGTGAGGTGGCAAAATTTGCAGATGATACAAAACTACTCAAGATAGTTAAGTCCCAGGCAGACTGC